TATTTGAGATACTTATAGGTACCGTAAGCGCGTTTCAGTTCCCGAATAAAAATTCAGGAAACCTAGGGATCGCCCATAAGCATAGTAACCATATAGTTTTCGGCGTCGAACAAGTAAGGACCCCTCAACCTATTTCCTATCATAGATGTGAAGTTTGAATAAATAATAATATTGTATTTTGTATAAATTAAATAGATAGGCATAATTAATTACGGTTGCTAGTGGAGCCCAAACTGTACATTATTCTCTGTCGATTCTTGTTTGATTTATTTTACAGTTTAAATGCATTATGGTATCTGGTTTATCTGTTCTATGGTTTTAAATGCATGTATCACTGCTTACTTCACTACTGTTTGATTTTGAGAATCTAAGATATGATTGCATTGTTATATGCATGTTACTTGTTTATGTATTTATCTTTGATTTGGTGATGGAGATTAAGGACAAACAGGAATGGGATGTGATATGATAAATGGATAAGGTGACAGCCTCACTAGATATCCTGGGAGATAGTGGACGGATCGGGTTCATAGGGAACCCTACCGTTAATGTTGTCTCATACCGGACGAGGTATGGAGACTTGGTCATTTGGCGCTCATACCGGACGGGGTATGGAGACGGCCCTGTAATTAAGATTGTTAAGGAAAATAGTTCACGTGTAGTGGGGACACCCCTATGGATTCCCATAGATATAAGTAGGCTGGTGAAACGAGAAGTGGTGATGATCAATTATTGTTAATGAATACGAATTTATGTTACTGATTATGCATGAATTTTTTATCTGTATGATTTTATTGCTTTTATAAATTATTTTCATAAATTCCACAGTTGTGAGTGAACTGTAAATGATTTCATTTATGATAAACGAATCTATTTGAATCTACTGCTCCATTGGTTGTTTTGATTTTCTACCAACCTTTACTTTTGTGATGGCAATATAGTGTGATGTCCTTACTAGGCTAGTGTGGCTCACCTCTTATTTAACCATTTCAGATCAGGAGGACCCGATTTCTGAGCCCGATCCGCAAGAAGGTTACGAGTAGATGCTAGATACTTTATAGTTTTCTTTATTTTTTTCATTTTTCGTATTTCTTTCAAAGAATTTATTTCGTAATATTTGTTAGTACTTTTGAGTTATCGTGTAAGAGATATTAAGCTTAACCTTTATTTCGCTTCCACATTCAAATTATTATATGCATTTCTTTTTAAATTTCCAGGGTCCTTACACTTGAAGCGCGTTTTAATCTCCGAAAAAAAAATTTAGGGAACCTGGGGACTGTCAATAGGCGCAGCCAAAAGTTTAGCATTTCGGACATCAATTTAAGTAAAAATCTTTCACCTTATTCTCTGTTATAGAATTGAAGTCTAATTAATAATAATACGACATTTGGTGTAATTTAGAAAATATCTATAATTAATTACAGGTTATTAATAGAAGCAGAACCGAAAGTTATTCATTGTTGGTTCTGTTGATTGATTTTACAGTTTGAATGCATGACAATATGTGATTGATTGATTTTATAGTTTGAATGCATGTATTGCTTGCTTTATGTGATTATAGTTAAATTGAAAAACTGGGATACGATTGTATTCTTTTGATGTATGCTTTGTTTGTTTTATGTGATTACGGTTGAATTGGAAACCTGAAAATTAAAGGTAACCGAAAAATTGTTTGATTAAGTAAATTGACTAAATGACAGCCTTACTAGATATCTTAGGAGATGGTGGACGGATCAGGTACATAGAGAACCCTACTGTGAACGTTGTCTCATATCGGACGGGGTATCAAGATTTGGTACTCATACCGAACAGGATATGAGAACAACCCATTTCACCTTCATATCGGACGAGGTATCGAGGTTTAACAATTTGGTGCTCATACCAGACGGGGTATGGGGATGACTCATTAATTAAAAATGTTAAAGAAAAATATTCACACGTAGTAGGGACATCACTATGGACCCCCATGGATACCAGTAGGTTGATAAAAGAGAAAATTGTTGTTCCAATCAATTGCATATGAAATTATGATATGTGTTATATTATTGACTCTATAGGTTATTTTCTTGAAAATCTCGTTACAGTGGTATGCGGTAAATAATTTTATTTATGATAAACGAATTTACTTAAATTAAGAGCTCCATTAGCTATTTTTATAATTTCTATCAATATTTATTTATGTATCGGTGAGTAACGTGATATTCTTATTGGGCTAATATAACTCATTCTTTCATTAACCATTTTAGATCAAAAGGACTAGGATCCAGGGCCCGATCTACAAGAGGGTTGCGAGTAGGATGCCCAATTATTTATTTTCCATTTATTTCTTTGATTTTTCGTTATTTCTTTTAAAAATGGTCATTCCCGTAAGCCTTATTTGGTACTTTCAGTAATTGTGTAAGAAATGTAAACCCTAACTATTTATTTCGCTTTCGCACTAAATTTATAATTTATATCCTTTGGAATTTTCGGAGGTCGTTACATGTATATTTGTCATACACAACCTAGCTCTTGTAATGACTTTTTAATCTAGTACTACTACTATTATTTTTATTATTATTTAAAGTTTGGTCGACAAAAAACGAGGTTTTTTCTCGTTTTTTTGTCGTTAAATCCGTTATTCTCATCTTGAGTCATCTAAAAGGTTATTGGTTCCTCCAGTCACTATGTGGGAGGTCATTTGGTGGGGAAGGAACTTGTTAAGCTCTTGTTATTCCCGTCTGCCGCATGCACCTCATTCCTTTTCATTCATGTTGTAAGTGAAAGGTGTTGTGAACATAAAGTTCTTTGATTTGCCAGCTTTGGCCTAGAGCAATGGAAAGGACTGTTCGTATAGTTTTTCGAGAAAAAAAGATGCCATTAGACGGAAAAAAAAGCCCTTATCGTGAATGTCCCTCAGTGGATTAATTGTTTGTGATCTTTCTGATGAAGGGAAGACTTTATTTTCTCTTTTCAAGGAAATAAATACTAAGTAAAGGCAAACAACGAGGCGAAAACAGTAGACTTAACTCGAGAAAGGAACATAGCATAAGAACATTTCTTCGGACTAGTTAAATAGTTGAACCCGACTCCTCCACTTGGCAAGCTCCTCTTTGCTCCTAGTAGACTACTAGATATATTGTCTACTTAGCTTTTATGGAAGAGCTAAGTCCAAGAAGGGCTCTCCAAAGATAAATTAGTGATTAATTATTTTTTAATTTAATAAAAAGTAAGCATTTTAAAAATAAATTATTTACATTGGTGTCAAAAAATTTGTAATTTAAAATTCCAATCGATAAAAATAAAAATAAAATTTTGTTACATTTCAAAATTTATAACATTGAGCTGATTGATGAAAAAAAATAACTAAAACACAAATGAAAATAATATAATTTTGTTATTAATAGTAAGTTCTAAAAGTTTTGTGTAACAATCTAATCAAAAGAAAAAAAGAAATGGATGCATAAATGTGTTTATACATGTATATATGTACCATATGCTGAGAAGATTTGTATTATGTTAAGCACAATGTTGAAATATATATATATATATATATGCACACACATATAAGATGTAGCTCAAATAATAGGGTTATATGTGTATATATTTATTTATTTGTATAAAAATATCAAAATCACCTTTAGGCGTTAGTTATAGCTATAAATCTAATTTCTTTAAAAGGATTCTCATCTATAAACCAATATCATTAGTTCTGTTGCTTTTCGTAAAAACGAGACAGCATGAATTATATGTAACATATTATATATATACACACACTAAATTTAATATATGTTAACATCTTGTACATATACAAAACTAAAATAATTATATATTTACTTAAAAATTAAAAATATATTTTTTATACACACCCAATTAAGAAATATTTGTGTACTTAATTAAAATAAAAAAATATATTTTGAAACCTTAATTTTAATTTAAACCTTTTTAAGAATTTGAGTTAATTATAAGATTAGATCTTATTAATCACTTCAATTAACTTAATTTTTTCTGGTAAATTACAATTAGGTTTGGTTTCCGTTTTTTAAAATATATAAAACAAATAATTCTTTTTTTGAGCTCATCGGAGGCTTCCCCTTGAGGTGAGGAACAAAAAAAAAAAAAAAAGCTGAGGGAGGGAAGGAGAGAGCTGAGAACCAGGAGGGGGATTGCGTTTTTCTTCTTTGGGGTCTGGACTCTGAAAAAGAGGAGGAGGAGGGGGAACCCGAAAAAACAGAGAGAGAACAAGAACGGGGAAATTTTCCAGGAGAGAAAAATTTAGAATCGGTGGTGAGGAATCCTGCCTTGAGGTATGTTTTTATTTTTCTTTCTTATTAACTTGTTCAATTCTGGGAGATTATTGTGTGGATATTCTGTGGAGAAGACTGACTATGTTGAATGAAATAAATTGATGTACGTGGAAGTAAGTAACTAAACGAATCAGGATTTGATAATCATATGTATTTGTGATGTTCATTTTATGATTGGTTCAATGAAAATGGGGAATTTTTCTTGTTCGCATCAGTAGGGATAGTTTAAGTAGGAATTGAATGGTTAGTATGAATAATTATTAGTTTTCTGTCTGGAGTATGCTTAAGTAGTAGTTGAAATCAAACTTTAGAAATTCATTAACCTAGTCTTTATGTTTGCTTCAGGTACAACCATATTCTGCTATTTTTGATCTACTGCTTTTGGCATACCGTTCCATTATCAGCGTCATTGTAGCTTTTCCTCCTAACATAATGATTTTAGCCTTTCTAATGTTTCTAGATTTAGCTTGGGCATGATGGCTTTAGCTTCTGTGTTTGTAAATTTTGCTTCATGTTTATTTTTAGACATAATAACTGCTGCTTTAAGTTCTTCATATTTTTTATTGTTTATTAGGAGAATATTCCTGCTTGCAAAATATATTTGTATTCTGGGGGTTCAAAGCATTAAAGATAATTTATGAAATGGGTTAAATCATTAAGCTGAATACTGGAAATATGAATAAGAAAAATATAATATAAATGTGAGTGAGAAATAATGATAAGTATATCTGACAAAACGAAACCAGAAAAAAGGAGAATGCATGAATTTTTTTTAGTTATCTTGCCATATCTTAATTTTACTACACTTTCTTTTGGAATACATTTTTCTTGACAAATGAACTCAGCACACCCATTATGATATAAATGTCAAAAAAAAGAAAAAGAAAAAAAAAAGTGAATTCGGCATGTTAATCACACAATTAATAGGAACATCTGACGGTAGGTCCTTATACCTTCCTACTCCATTTTGTCCTGAACTTGAATCTCTAGGTTCCGACCGGTAAATGTTTAGCATCTGATTTGCTTCTAATAGGATCGTTGTCGATTTCAAATATTTTAAAATTTTATCATGTTAGTTTTGTCCTGCGTCACTGATGTGCTGATTTAGATGTTTCATGTTTAGAACACAATAAGGGACAATGATAGAGGGTGTTCGTATCAGGCTGAACCCGTGGCAGCAGGCAGCAGTTGCCCTTGGTTCTGCAGTTGGTGCATTACTAGACCCACGAAGGGCTGATCTTATAGCTGCTCTTGGGGAAACAACTGGAAAACCTGCTTTTGAAAGAGTTCTGGAAAGGATGAAGCAAAGCCCAGAAGGCAGAGTAAGCTTACATTTTTATTCTGTTCTGTTTTGGTTTGTTTTGATGTGTCTTATTTGGTTCTTTTTGTGTATATTTATTGTTTGTTAGATTGTCAATGGAAAGGAAATGATTGATTTAATAAAATGTTAGTTTCTATGTGTAGACATTTTTTTAAATTGTGCTTAGCTACAATCAGAATATTGTTGTTCCTCAAAAGAAAAAGCAGTTGGAATATTGGGACCAGTAATGTTGATGTTGAGCTAAAGAGAGTTTAGACAATTTTGTTTCATCAGCTATTGCAGTGGTGCCATGCTTGACAGGTTAAACCTAGATAACCTCCTGATTCTTAGATATTGAACCTACATTTGGGTTTTAAGGTTTGACAAATTGTTGGCTAGTAGGGTCTGATGGATTCTTGGCTAGAAAATTAAATAGGTGTTACACTTGGGATGCCTTAAGTAGCACACTCAAGGTGAGGTTTTGATTAAAGCACATAATCATCATTGTATCACAGAATCATAAAACATAACTCTAGCAAATTCCTTCATCATTGTTGTTCTTTTGAAGTAATCAAGCTAAGTTCATCATATTTATTAGAACAAGTAAATTCTAATAGGAGATTTAGAAGATTTTGGAGATGAATTGAATTCTTATATTTAAAAGAAGACTGCTATAAATAAATTAAAAATGTTAAATTAAGTCTAAAATCTGCAGCTTAGGTGGTGGACCATCAATCTTAAGACGCCTAAATGAGCACGCATGTTAAAAATGCACTTTTTTGGGGCATTTAGTCTCTTTTCCAGTCAATGAATTAACTGTGTAAGTGGTCTAATAGGTTATATAGTTGTTTCTCCTCTAAAATCCTTTTTCCTTTTGCATATTAAAACAGTAAACAACCTTGAAGTTGTACTTTGAATAGCTTCTTCAAAAGTTTTCTATGTTATGAATCTTGTTCAACCCTGTGTACACGAAATTGCAAAGTCTAATGGTAGGAAGATGATAAATAGTAACATATTTGAAAATTTTCTGTTGTTTGCTCTATATTTTAGTTTTCTTTGAATGCAATAAAATGTATAAATTTCTACTTAAAAAATATTTTCTTTGAATGCTGTAACAGAGCGCCAGAATTCTACTTTGAATTGCTTATTCCAGAACTTTCAATGATATCAACCCTGTTAATACTTGTGGAAGTAAAATGCAAGTCTAGCAAGATGATAAAGAGCGCCATATTTAAAGCTTTTGGTTTTTCTTTCAAACTCATTTCTTTACCTATAACAGTGGAGAACTTTATAAGCTTTCTATGCCATGAATCCTCTTGTAAATCTCAACTGTGTTTAGCTAGACTGTTATAATAATAATAATAATAATAATTGTTTTAATAAGAATGATCTTGCAAGATGATAAATAGGAACTGTTGTTGAAATGTGGATATATCAAAGAATTGGAACACTAGATTTCCATTTGTACCTGGAAAATGGAGGAAAGTAAAGCAAAATGCAAAATTATTTGTCAAGGTAGTTCAAAAAATTGGTTTCTTCAAAAAAAGAAAGGTAGTTTAAAAGATTGGGGTGCCAATCATCTCAAGCTTGCTAAACTAGGGAAGTAAATATAAAGGGAAGATAGCTTTAGATATGAAGGATTTAAAATGTTGAGGAGTAGATATACCTTTGAGCAAAGGATTAAGAAGAAAAAGTTTCATATCACTTTTGTACTATCTTGTTTTAGATATGCAACTGACCTGCCGCCTTTCTCTTAGGAAGATAAATGTTACCTTTTCATTATATGTACAAAGGACGTTTTTTCTCTCAATTATAGTTGCTACTTAGAAATCCGTATATCATTTTTTACTTAGCTGATTCAATACTATTATTTACCTGGCTTCTCTGACTGCAGTCTTATGATATTTGGTATTGGCAAATTTCTTTTTAACAGGTAGTCCTCTTGGAGAAACCTCGTGTTATATCTTCAGAAGTGGGGCATGCGTGGGATATGCCAGCCAACACTTTTGGTGCTGCTTATGCAAGATTCATGGGATCAAGGAATTTCTCCCCAGATGACCGCCCACCAGTCCGGTTTATGGACACAGATGAACTTGCATATGTAGCAATGCGTGCTCGAGAGGTACATGATTTCTGGCATACCCTGTTTGGTCTTCCCACCAACTTGATTGGAGAGTCTGCTCTTAAAGTGATTGAGTTTGAGCAAATGCATTTGCCTATGGCCCTGCTTTCTGTTTTTGGGGGCACGGCAAGATTTAACGAGAAGCAAAGGACTTTATTCTTCAAGCATTATTTCCCATGGGCTATCCGGGCTGGCATGCAATGCACAGATCTCATGTGCGTGTATTATGAGAAACACTTTCACGAGGATTTGGAGGAGGTTCGAAGAAAATGGGGGATAGTACCTGCTCCAGCAGCTCTCAAATAAATTGGTGTAACTGGTGGGGAAATGCCTTGTTGGTTAGATACTGTAAGTCATGCACAAGAAGTTGTGTTTATAATCTGAAATTTGTTTGAACACCTCAAGCAATGAATAAATTACCTGGAAGCAATTATTCAGTCTTCCTTGTATCCAATCTAATCTGAGATATCCATATGAGCTTGATGATTTGTTCTATAGCAAAATCATTGTAGATCTGTCTTTATTCATGCATCATTGCTGGAAGTGATGCACCAGGTTTCTCTTTTCTGGTTCACAATGATAGAATTATTTATTTCTCACAGCGGATTTTGAGTAACCTCAATATTAAATAGTAGTTAGTTAATTAAACATCAAAGCTGAAATTAAAATTTTTAAAGAATTATGGTGCAAAATTAAATCTGAAAAAATATTACTGAAATAAATTTATCAATTTAACTGGATCTATGATGTTTGACTATGGTAATCCTAGCAATACTTATTTATGGTTGTTTATCCATGATCACTGAATACAATTATCTACAATTTTGTTATTGGTAATAGATAATTATATTCATCAATCATAAATAGCGAACATAACAATTATGATACTCATTATAATAATAGATCATTGAAAAATAATCGATTATTGTTTATTGAATGCTAATGCTAATTAACATGGTCAAATGTAGATCACTATGTGAACAATGTCATTGATAGAGTCCACATAATTGAGCAAATATTGCTCTAAATCAAAACTTCATGTAAGAACAAACTTAAGATGATCGTTTTAAAATCCTCAAAAATGGAAAGCCAAACCTCTCTCCTCAAAAGGGCGTAGGGTCATTAACATTCATCAGATTAACATATCACTCATAACCCAGAAATCACAGTAAACGATAACCATGCGGCAAAGAACAAAATCTTTACCACATCTGACCTTATTAAAAGACATTGATGCATCTAAAGTTCAGTTTTGATTGAACCAAACCACCGCAACAGTTACATATTACAATCATACCATCCAGCAAGTTCCTGTTTCTTCATGTAAAGGATGAGAATATTTCTTCATCCAAGTAACAAATGCCACAAAAATCAACAAACACCTTCATCCAAGATACAAATGCCTCCAAAAATCAACAAACACCCCATTGTGAAAAAAATATAATGTTTCAGTTACTGCCACCACCAAAGAGGTAACCCAGAGAAGATCCACCACCCGGTGCAGCATGGACTTTTGTTGAAGGCCGATCCTGTAAATATTGAAAGAAATTTATTAATCACAATCCAGTATAGATATAAAGAAGGTAGTTAAATAGTCATCACAAAGTTATTTTGGCTAAAAGGACTATCCTACAGTAGTCTATCAACCTTATTAGGGGTTTAGATTCTTTAAAGTCCTAGCTCGCTGGTATTTTTAAGCATATACCATTGACATGGAGCTAAGAATGAAATCATTAAACACAATTCCTAGAGCTGCAACTGAAGTAGCTTAGATTCCCACAAGAGGTTAACAGAAGTCTGAAATATCGCGACTATATGTTGCCCTGCTCCGGAAATTATTTAGGTATGACAACTTCAACAATGACTCCTGTTCATTCACCTCAAGAGAATAGATGATGGTTTACAACAAATTTTCATCTTTGTCAGTAGTTGGAGAACAATTTGGAATAGTGAAGAAGAATGCATTAGCCAATGCAACTTAATTGTTCAGGTTTAATTGCAAAACACGCATATACTCCACTTGGGGAAAAAAATATATGAACTGTTAATGTCCTAATTATTAAACTGCATGAGCAACTGATATCAATAACCAGCAGCAGAAGAAATTTAGCAAGACTGTCATGAAATCTTACCGTAATGAAGTTACCAGTGTTCTGGCCATCAGCTCTCGTATAATTGTTTGAAGAACTGCTATTTATACCAGCAGGAATCTGCTTGCTAATATCTACTGATTCAGGAGCAGGTTTGGAGGGAGGGACATTTCTTAAAGTCTGCCCTTCATTTGGTGCAGCTTGGGCATCCTTGGTGATTGCCTTGGGAGCCTCCCCACTGCCAAAAAGATATCCCAAGGAACTCTGACCCCCACCACTGCTTACCCCCCGATTCATGCTCTCTGACTTGTTACTAGGAAACTTTAAACCCTGCCTGGATGCAGGAAGGAATCAGTAAGAATCAAGCAGTAAATCAAAACATCAATATTTTCTTCTAACATTTAGTGTTCTTATAAGTGTTTATCAAAATGACCATGTAAATTGGGTATCTCAGAAAGATCCATACCCTTGGTTATCCCATCCTGATCCCACATTGCGATCCCTCATTGAAGCAAAATTATGGCTATGTTTCAAGCACAATTTAAAATTCATGTGAAATTCATTTGTAAATAGACTTATTTTATCTAAGAGAAATACAAGTTCTATTTAAGGATGACAAAAATAAGCTCGTATAGATTTCTATATAGATTGGAAGGATTTATTTCAAAAGAAAAATATATATTGGAAGGATTCATTCCAGATACCATCAAATTTGAAAATTTCTTTTTCCAATTTCTGTAGCATTCAATATGAGTTCAATTTGCTTTAAAAAATTTGAAGTAAGATTTTAAACATCTTGCAGTTGAAATGAATATTGATTTCTAAATAAATTCCAAGTAAGTTTTGGATATGTTCCAAACATAGCCAATATATATCATGCGTATGACTACTTAAGCTAAAACATAGCTAACATATTCTCCACTTTATTTTCCATTTTCGTGGCAACCTCACTTCACATATCTATGCTAAAACTATTTTACGTTCTGAATCGCATAAACCAAATGCAACAGCCTTTTAGAACAATGCAGAACTAGAGCGAGCAGAGCACTTTCTAAACTGCTTACAGAATTATGCAAATTGAAAAATAGAAAAAAAATAAAGAAGAAAAAAGAGAGGATGGAAAACACTGGCTCCTCCAGTGGATGTGAACAAAAAGAAAAAGAAAAAAAGGCCACAAACAAGAAAGAAAAAGGAAAAAGAAAAACAAAGCCAGCTTTCTTGTAACCATACTTTGCCACTGCACTCAACTTTTAAAGATATCAACCACAATTAGATATCACATGAAGGAAAATCCAGAAAAGCATCTCATCTCAGTCCAGAACCTCAGGAATCATGTCTTTGATTATACAACAGAAACAACAGCATCAAGCTGCTAACAAATTGTCACACCCAGGGAGACACAAGGTGAAAAACTCCTCAAAACAATGTATAAAATTAAAATCTTAAGGAGTTGTCACTGATCCTATTAGAAATGGGCTCAGATGCAAAAACTTAATTACTGGTCTGAATCTAAGATTCGAGATAAAAAATGATACAAGACAGGAAGGTGGAGGGGCACCAGTCTGTGGTGTAGTCTAGTTAGCCAAGTTTTTAGTTAGCATGCATTATTTGTTCCTTAATCCATGAGATGTGTGTGTGAATGTGATATTAGCCTAGAAATTAACAATTACAAAATTCGGAAACTACAAGAGGAATTAGGGGTCAAATTTCAAACTACATGAGGAATTAGAGTGTAAACCAAGAACATGTAAAGATTGATGTAGGGTATGCAAACTAGTTATCCCAATCAGTAAATAGAGACGAGAAATAAATAAATAAGGTTAATAATATTTTTTATTAGTCCAAATAAAAGCAGCCAATTGCATATGGGATATAGGTGCCAAACAGTAAGAAAAAAGAGAGTAAATAGCCAAGAAAGAAGCTACTAATTTAGGATAAAAAGTTCAAACAGTAAACAAAGCATATGAAAAAAAGAGGTCATGCTTAATTAATTCCCTTTCTTAGTCCAAATGCAAACAATTGATGCAAAAAAAAAAAAAAAAGAAGCAAGCAGAGTAGTGTTTGTCCCTTTTAAACCTAACTTGCAGCAGTTGTTAGATCAAAACCATGCTAAAATGAAGAGACAACAACAGCAGTAAACCTGAAGCTGTTTCTAAATATTTAGTAAAAGAAAAATCCATGAAGAACATCATCACGGTGAATAATTTATCTACATTTCACATTAAAGATAATTGATCTTTAAATAGCAAGCAATCTATTCAAAGCACGTACACCGTCATATCAATGAATCTAGTGGCATTCTTTTATTGAACAGGAAATCCTTCACGAATATATGACATTAGAAGGAAACTTGAGAATTTATTAGCACGATAGGGAAACAGAGAAGAACACAGCCATTCATTTATAAAATGAAAAACCACAGTAAAAATGTTGATTTAAGGTACAACTTACATAAAATATAAACTGAATTTCTTCATCTCAAATAGAAAATCACGTGAACCACAAGCATTACAATCAAACGATTTCTACTAAAACAACTCTGAAAACGAAATTTGAGAGCAGAAGAAATATACTTAGACAACTGCAACTTTTATCCGGGCTCCTTCTCTCCTTCTTGCGCCGGTTTTTCCAGAAACTTTCTCCCTCTCTCTCTTTTCTATCGATCTTCCCAAAATCTTTGCTTCCCTGCGCCTCAAGCCTCCCCCTGTTCTCCGTCCCTCCAAAACCTCTTCAAAAAATCCCCCTCGTCCGCTGGCTTCTCTCTTTTTTCCACAATTTCTGGCCTCCCTCCTTTTTTATAGCCTCGGGAAGATGCTGGAGTTTCGAGTGCTAACCTCCTCATTTGCCAATTTTGTTATATTTTCTTTCTCTCGTACTCCCTCTTTTTTTTCCTTTTTTTTTTGAACTCACATGGTAATAATATAATAATAACAATAAATTTAAACTTAAATTTTTTAAAAATCTAAAAATAAAAAAAAAATATTAAAAAAATAGTGCGAAAGAGACTTTCAATTGAAAAAAAAAAAAAAATTACATCCGGATAAAATAAAAATAAAAAGTAAAAAAGATAATTTTTTAATTTCGTGTTATATTTTATGACCATGAACAAAGCCATGTAGAGAAAATGTTTATCTCACGTAATTATTTATTTAATAAGTTTTAATTTTTATCCCCATAAGTTTAAAATGGAAATTGAATGAGTTTATATTTGCATAAAAATATTAACTAATTAAAAAAAATATTATTTTATGAAAAATAAATATAAACTACATACGAATAATGAAAATCTTTTTTATTTACATATAAAAAATAAATTATTAGAATTTAATCTTGCAAAAAAATTCACCGATTCTGCCATTATATTTGTTGAAAACCATTTAATCTTGGAAAAGAGAGATAAAAGAATTTCTTCACCACAAAATTTCGGTCAATTATACTCTGAATATTCTTGTGGCTTCTGCCTGTGAAATCTTTTTAACACTTTCAGAATAATAAAAAAAAGAAAACTATTTTATTTATAAGCTTAAGCAATGGCATTATACTAAAAATCCATGACAATAACAAGCCTTCAATTTAAACTTGGATACGGTGCCATGTCCTCAGGTTATATAATTGATTGAAAGAATTCAGATACTAACATTAATTGATATATTAACAGATGCCAAGAGGACTTGCAATTTTCTGATTGTTACATCTGATGGGAATATATCAAAAATGTAAATTTCTATACCCAAATTACACCTTAGTTTGTCTACCCAATAGGTAAACAAGATGCGGCGTCACCTGCTATACCCAAAAAAAATCAAAACCTCAAACAGAAAATAAAGGCTCTCTTCCCATGCACTCCTCTGGAAGTCTTTCTTATCATGTGCAGCATTTCCTACATAACATGTGCATTTCTTAAAATAAGCAGTATGGACTTCGAACCTGTTAGATTCAAGACTGATTCCATTTGATCAGATGCCAGACAGTAAAACTCAGTTCTATGTACAAAATCAAAATTGCTCCACTCATCATAGTAAAAATGAATCGTGTGTTTCCTATCAACCTCAGATGCCAATTGGAACTGCAAACTAAAACTTTCTTCTCCTTTGCTCGTATTATGTGCTGCATGAATTGCTGACCTGAATTAAATACCACCAACTGCTAGATGATTTCACCAGAAATAATCGGTCAGAAAATTCAAAAGCAGTGATAGACAAGAAATCACTTGAGAAGAGATCAAAGAGGACATGCAAAAAGACAAGGAAAGAAAAGAACACAGTGGAGTTACCAGTTGTTTATGACAAAATCATATAATTCAAGTCTGCATAGTATAATAATGAGAGGCGAGCTCCGTCAACCACAAATAATCAATTCTAGTTACATTGCGTACATATTTATGACTAGTTTGGACAAGCTCATTGAAAATTATGCAATCTGGTCTTGCACGGAATAAAACAGAAGAAGGGTGAATCTGCACCACCTGACCACTTGCCAAAGCCCTGATTAAATAAATACGAGAGTTCTTGTTAGGAGGAAACATAGGCCTTGAATAATAGTAATAAAATAAATTATTCCAATGAGATTTGAAATGAGATGTAATAAGGTCACAGATAAATTTAGAACATAAAGAACAACAGCAACAATAAATGTTCCCCAAGGGACCAACCAAATTTCTGTCAAGAGCCAAGCCAACAAAAATACTTTACCTGTATGTTCCTTCAGGCTGTCTAAGAGCTGCATTAAGGAAAAATGAAGCAGCAAGACATTTCCGGAACTCAAGTGTGTCATCCCCACAAGAAGAAATACAAAAGCCCATTTGTTCAACATGTCCTCGAATTTGACTGCAAAAAAACAAGTAACAAAATTGAAGGATGCATGGTTCTAGCCTCTACAACTTGAAATAATGAACAGATAGAAAAATTCGATCCACATGATCTTTTCAAATTGTGAAACACTTGGGTTCAATGACCAATTAAACTTTTATTTTTGTGTAAAAGGGTAATTAAAAATCACTTTGAGAGCCCCTAAACCAGATCTCAAGTTCAAATTCAACGTGAAATAATTGAGCAGGGAGATCAATTGCTCCAAGAACTTTTTTTTGGCAAATAAATCCAAAAGTTAAGTTGATAGAAAAAGGCTCGACTTACAATTTATATTATGTACTAACACAAACCACAAATGTCTGAGATGGAATATATGAATGCATTTAAAAAAGTTAGAAGAGCAATAACAACCAACCTTAGAAAATATGAATGCATTTACAAAATTAGAAGAGCAATAACAGCTAACCTGAGTATGTCACGGGCATGCCTCAGAGAACGACTGTTGATAAAATTTTCCTTGCACCATTTCCTTAGAATTTTATCATCCTTAGTTTTATTAAGTTCCATTTTTCTCTTCTCCAGTAAATCATTAGATGCTCGATATACATTGATCAAAGTGAGATGATCTCCCTCTGGACTTGCAAAACATGTCATTGCAGTTCTTGCCTGCCAAACAAGGGGGAAACAGAGTAATACTTATTAAAAGGATTACTGGACAAAAGAACAGTTAGAGGTAGAATAATGAAAAATATAAATGATAAGGAGCTTTAACAACCTCTATATGCACAAACCGAAAACAAGCAATCGGGCAAGAACAATACTAAAAGTTCAAGAAATTGTTTATGTAGCCAAAACAAATTGAAGTACAGAACCAAGCCTTCTACTAATAATAAAATCATTAGCCTAAAGAGCGAAATAGCCATTTTAGTTTTTGAATTATTTATCATGTTACAATTTCTTTGTATGTGTTATATTACAATTATAGTTAATATTTGGTTCTAAGACAACATTATTCTTAGTTCAAGAACTTATTTGACAATGCCCTAAACATCAAGATACCTATAGGAGAATATCTGATTTCTCACTTACACTGGGACAATTCTTGACCTTTCTGTCATTTTGTCTATCCTAATATCTTATATAGAACAAATCAGCTTTTATAAGGCATTAAAAGGACTCACAACCACTTTAACATCCGAAATTTACATTCAAGAGAAATAAATAGGAACAAAGTCTGGAGTAGCAATCATATGCATATACCTCTTCAGACTTCTCACGAGGAGAATAAAAAATAGATTCCACTGAGAGCATTGCAACAGTAATCAGCATTTCTTGCAAGCAGTTGAACTGATTAGCTAAGATTAGAGCTTTTGAATATATAGGATCTAGAGGGAATCGAGCCATTTGACGCCCAACTGGGTCAGATAGTTTACAATCATCAGTCAAAGCACCTAGCAAGAACAGTTGCTCCATTGATTTGACAATAGATGCCCTGTTCAAATGGAATACATAATAGATGAGTAAGTTGGGAAGACTTGGAGGCACCATAAGGATAAAGACATAGCAAGAAAGACAAAGAATGAGGCAAAGAAAACATAGAACAACATATAATTCAGGAAAACACTGAAAATGTAGCAGCGCAGAAAAACTTATGTTTCTAAGCTAAAGTAGTCATACGATGCTTATCTTTTTTTAACCATTATATTTATCTCTTATTTGACCAGTGATTAATCATGTAAAACAGTAATAAATATCGAGAAAATATGAAAAAAGAAAATATAGCCTAAGCACAACAAAACCTCAAAGCCCCTCTTCACCTTGATGGTTTTTCCATGAAGTCAAACCCAAGGATATCATCAATACCAAGGGCCTTAAGCTGTAAAATCACATTTGAGAGGTTACATCGCTTTATCTCTGGTTTTGTCGAATCCTCGAGTTTCTCAAATTCGATCTCTGGATAGAGACGGAAGCACTTGCCAGGCCCTTCACGCCCTGCTCTTCCACTGCAGAGAAATTGTAGGTCATTCTAAACTGTTTTCCATAAAAACAATTATAAACACCAGTGGATTGCCAACCGGGTGTTGAATGATGCTATTATCAAGTTATATAATATTTAACATGATGATGAATTGCAAAGTGCATCTTCCAATTGCAAAATAGAAGCATACATATAATTTGAAACAGGAAACAAAAATGATCTTCAACTTAAGCATCCAACTTTCTGCATTTAAAAAATGCAAAAGAAAGAGTTCAAACATAAGCAAATGCAAAAAAAAAATAATCTCAAATGAAGTATCAATAGTAGGCTGCATTGCGATCGTATCAGCCAGTGTGAATGTTTCTCAGTGCCTCAAACCCCTTAACCTGGCAGAAAGCCTGGATAAGATTAAAGTATTCTAAGAGGAACTGGAACTTGCACAGCTTCTCCCAAACCATTCATTACATTTAAAAGATATTAAATCTTGAATGTTTAACTAATCATCAAGTTATTGAAACAATGAAGTGATCCAACATGCCCACCTTCTTTGAAGAGCCTGTGCTTTTGAGGTAGGAACAATAATCAACGATTCCATTCCTTTGACTGGATCATAGGAGCGTGCCTTTACAAACCCAGGATCAATAACATACTTGATTCCAGGTATTGTGACCGATGTCTCAGCAATATTTGTTGCCAATATAACCTAGAAAGAATAATGCATACAAATGTAGGGTTTACGCCAGAATTGACCATAAGTGGGTGAGGGTAAAGCAGACAATTGCAGAATAATCAAGAATTTTACATCCCAAGCCCAAAAGTAGGCAAGTTATATGTCGCACATGTATGAGAAAACTCATAAACACTAAAGGCTTTAAGCAATTATCACATCAAGCCAATAAAGGAAATACTTCAATGTTAAATAACTAATAAATCATCCAAATAGAAACTTAAAGACTAAATTCTTGAAATGAAAATTAATCTCTGCATCCAAAATAAAGTCCTTAAGTTTTAAATTAATTTGAGTTCTTTATTTTCCCACTTTTACTTTAAGCTGTGCACATCGTGTGGGTGATCCCACAACACTAAAACCATACTATATTTCTGTGATAAAACCTAAAACCATATTTAACCTCTATAGTGTATGTCCAAAGATAATCTATATTGGGACTCAAAAGAAACATAGCTCTGAAACCAATTTTACCTTATTGACATAGTTAGATTATAGTTAGAAACCTTCGAATGAATTATAAATACCCAATTAAGGATTGTTAGTTAAGGACTAGTCCACTTGATCCAGATTCCAAGGTTCTATCAAATATATCAGCTTTAGAACACAGCTTTTGCATTTAGCTTTCAATATGATTTCTTTCTCCAATTCCATTCCTTCAGTTAACACTTGTAAACATAACCTGGATACATGCTTCCTAAATATGACACTGGCAATACACCATTTTGTGAGTCAAATTTCCACAAGGAACAGCGGTTTTTTTTTTTTTTTGGTTTCTTGGTTTCATCTTGCAGCATAAAAAGGAAAGAAAGACAGCAATAGACTAAATACAATAAAATATCAGAAAAATCAATAAGCTACCTTACGGAAACCAGCTGGAGCAGGCATGAAAACTCGCATTTGCTGTTCAGATGGAAGAGAAGAAAAAATGGGAACAGTTAACAGCTTCTGGTAACCTTCAGGGAACTGTTGAAGTCGTTCTTTAATAAATCTTTCAACAGCTTCAATCTCTTCTTGACCAGTGAGAAACACAAGGATATCACCAGGGCCCTCCTCCAAATGAATCTAACAAGTTGTTATGACAAAAGAAGGAAGACTTGATCAGAGAGTTAGTTTGTGAGTTTAGGACTGATCATTAAGAATCAAGTGTTCAAGTACTTCTGCAGTAAACCTAATTCAGGTTACACTAAGGAGGCACTAAGGAGGTGGCGTAAACCAATTAAATATGAAATGACGTCCAAGAACATTCAAGCTGCAATCCAACAGAATAGTTCTCGAAAATTGAAGAAATTGATAGCGTAAAGCTTCCAGGACAAAACATTTAAATAATGCAAACCAAACACGTGTTAAAAGAAAATGTCACCCACGGACATAGACTAATGCCAAAAAAATCTTTAGAAAAAAATTTCCAACATGACAATTCACCTAACCTCACTCCAGACAACACACTAATAAAGAAAAGCTTTATTAAAGAGAAACTAAAGAACAGAAAAGTAGAAACCTGAAATATGGTAACTAATGCTGCATCCAAATAGTCTTCTTCAGCATAAAGAGTATAAAATATATCTACAGGAAACTGCCTCCCTTGAATATGAACAGCTTTTGCACCACCAAAATAACCAGAAAAAACTCGCGCATCCAAACTAGCAGACATGACAATTAACTTCAAAGGAGGGAATTTTCTGCCTTGGCATTGTTTGAAAATACTGATGCATTTATCGCTGTCTTCTTTGCTCAAAAGAATGCCATTGCTTGCCTTCTTATTATCAAGATTAGCCTGTTTGCTTAAGGACTTTGACCTTGCATTCTGAACCTTTTTTAGCAACCCCAGTAGCACATCAGTGTGGACAGTTCTTTCATGAGCTTCATCAACAATAATGACCGAGTACCTAGAGAGATATGGATCCAATAATGCTTCCCTGTAAATCTAGCGAGACTTGAATCAGCTAACCTTACAAAAGGTCAATAACAAATTTCCAAATCATGGACATGCAAAACCATATTACCATATGAAAATTTTTATAATTTGAATCTTCTCCACCATCTTTACTGGTATAACTGAACTAAGCATGGTAATGTTTCAATCAGAAATTACATCATAAAATTAGCCTACCATTACCACATATGGCATATTTAACGATCAAGTACTAGCTTCATCAACATGAAAACAACTGCAATTTATTATGCACGATGTGTCCGCATAATAGAAGGAGACACAAAACCAACAAGTAACAAATTCACTTTTGCACAGCCTTTAACATAAAGGTACCATCGAAAAGAAAACTGCAAAGCATCTGAAGTAAAAAAGTCAACGCAGTATAAATTATACAAGCATAAAATGCACAATTTAATTCTTTTACCTCAACAGTAATCCATCTGTCATGTACTTGATCCTTGTTGAGGCAGAAGTTTTGTCATCAAACCTAATTGAATATCCGACCTTCTGACCCAGCTCCGTACCACATTCCTCGGCTACTCTTTTCGCCACAGTGACAGCTGCAACACGTCTTGGTTGTGTTATCCCCACAATCTTTCCATCAAGACAGAACCCGGCATTAAAAAGAAATTGGGGCAATTCTGCACAGAAAAAATTCAATTAATTAGAAGTTTTTACTAACTTTCACAAGAAACATATAATTATATATATAAGTAAAACTACAACTTACGTGTTGTTTTTCCACTTCCAGTTTCACCAACAATAATCAAAGTATCGTTTTTCCTAACCTCTTCAACAAGCCGCTTCTCAACTAATAAAACAAGATACCGCCAAAATAAGCATTGTTGTTGAACATTATAAAATCAGCAGAAGAAGCCAATTTAAATTTGCACCTGAAGCAATAGGAAGCGATTTTCTCTGTTGTAAAATCTTTTGCCTCCTGCAATTGCAATCGAATCAAAATAATAAATGTCATAGAATAAAATTTTTTTGAGGTTTTATTCATAATAGAAGTTGAAATTTTAAATTTATCAACATTGTCCAAAGACAAAAAATCAGAGGGAAGGAAAACCGGAAATAAGTAAAATACTGAAGAACTGACCTGGCAAAATATTCATTGGAAGGCTTAGCATTAGGTTTGTGACTTTGCTCGAAGCTCTTTCGCCCTGTTTGCGCCATCGAAGGCATATCCAAATGCACTTTGAGAAACTGTTTACTTTTTCCTTAAACCCTTCCAAACAGCAAGAGAGGGCAAGTACTAGGTCCTTAAACCGTTCAGATCTCGTCGCCGATCTCCCCTACAGCTTAAAAAACCTCTCTTACTGCGCGAAGCTCACGTCTGTCAGTTGTCCTCTCTCTCTCTCTCTCTCTCTGTCGGTCCCTATGACACCTATCTTTTTTTTTTTCTCTCTCCTCCTAGTTTTCGGTTTAGGAATAGAAAGATGCATGAAAACGGTGTCGTTTTGGAATTCAGAAGATAATAAGGCTAGGCCGGGTCTCTAGTGGTGCAAAATGGGCCGTGTAAAAACTGCGCTTGGGTTGAAACACTGGGTTCAATTTAAAATTTGGGCCAAGTAAATAAAGGATGGGATTTTAAAAAGGTAAATCGTAGGGCTCTTTTTCTTCTCTCTTTTTTCATTTTTCATTTTTTTTTCTTCTTTTATTTTTAAAAAATATATTAAAAGAAAGTAAACAGAAATAATACATTATCAATTGGTTGAAAAATTAAACATTTTTTTTCTTAACTTTATATATATATATATATTTAATTATGGTTGAACAAAATTAGAGTACGATGAAGACTTAGTTTAGATACATTTAGGACTTAGGTTAAAAAAATGATGAAAATTGAAGATTGTTTTCTCTTTGTTTATTTTCCACTTGCTTCTTTTTATTTTCTCTCTCTCTCTCTCTCTCTCTCTATTTCTTTAAATCATAATATAATAATAATAATTTATTCAAGGATAAGATAAAATTAATTGGGATGTAATTAGGATATTATAGTTTCCATGGGATTATTGTAAATCATTGAAATGTTGACTGTCACGTAACCCTCTTGATTCCAAGTTTTTAGCTAACAATGGAAAGGAATGTATGAAAGTCAATGTTTTAAACTCTTTTATATTTTCATCTAGAGTGACTAAAAGAGAATTCTCCAGGCTATAATAATATTTTTTATAAAAAAAAAAAAAAAAACATTGTGTATTCTATTTTAATCCTAGCTCATTAATGGAACTAGCTGACTTACACCCAATTTTCATGTAACTGCAAGATGAGGTTGAATGTGATATCTATGCATGAAGAAATGCTGGGCAGCAGCTACTAACATGAAGCTCAGAATACCAACTTTAACGAAAAATGGTAGACCAAACAAATTCCTTCTGCCTTTGTCAAGTTTGGCACTCACTCCAAGTTGCCTGGTGGCTGAAGCTTGAGCCTTCTTCATAAATGATGAATGTGAATCGATTTCCTCTTTTGTTAATGCTGGTTTAAGTGACTCCCTCGCATTCTCGAAATGGCAATCACATACAGCTGTTGCAGTTATGTTCTCCCTCAGCGCTGCGATGCCCGCCTCCCGACACAAGCCCTCCAGTTCAGCTCCTGTGAAGAGCTCAGTATCTTCTGCTATTCTTCTGAGATTTACATCCTTCCCTAATTTCATGGCCCTTGTATGCACACGAAGTATCTCATACCGTGCTTCTAAGTCAGGCGGCGGTACATAAAGCACCTACAATTCCATAAAAAGAAGGTCAAGAATATTCTAGGAACGTGCATATCCTTTCGAACATGCTGCGTTATGCAATATTATTACGATTTTTACACAGTCAATAGCGCCATTTAAGTCACCAGCAATAGGGAAAAACACTTCTCATTTGCATTTAAATGTACTTAAAATTCTGAGGCAAACTGGCGAGGACTTCACAACTAAATAAAAAGGATCTAAACAGCTCAATCATGAGGCCCATAGATCAGAACATGCTTCTTACCATATCAAATCGTCCAGGACGCATGAGTGCAGCATCTATTGCATGAGGACGATTTGTAGCAGCTAAAATGAGAACTCCCTGTAAAAGAATTAAGCATGTATTCAAACTAAAATTAAGCTATACAAAGAACCTTCTTATGCGTTTAACTCACTTTTGCCTCTTCTAAGCCATCCATTTCAGTCAGCAACGTAGACAAAAGCCTCTCTCCGACTGTAACATTGTGGCTTGAACTCCCACCTCTGCATTTACAAGAAATAGATGTAACTCAAGAGTCTTGACAGAATGTGCCTAATGCTTGCTCTGCATACAACACTCAACTACTTATTCCACTGTATTCTAACATGAAAAAATCTGATCCTTGGTAAGAGCACAAAATAATTCTACAAAGTAAATATTAAAAACTAACCTTTTGGCAGCAACAACATCAGCCTCATCAAAGAATATTATGCTAGGAGCTGCAAGTCGAGCTCTTTGAAATGTATTGCGCAATAATGCTTCACCTTCTCCAACGTACATTGAATATAGTTCTGCACCACTGATCTACAGCTCATTAATCTCAGCGAATCGCTTAATGAATCCTCCAAAAATTACAGGATTATAACACAAATTTTAAAACATTTCAGAAATCTGAAGGAGTCCAGAGTAGGTACATCTTCCAACACAAGAAAATTCGATCCATGTAAGTATTTCAGAATAAGCTAAGATGAAAGCTTTTTTATATAAAAAAAAAAAAAAAAATGGGAGCAAACTTCTTGCTGAGTTTGTGGAGAAAATGAGGAAATGTTTCCTCATAGGGCTGGTTCCTGAATCTAATGTCTTTAAGCAAATTAGGTGTGTTTCAGAAGGATTTGTGATTTCTATTAGTAGTTAATCCACCTTTCTATTAATACCACTTCTTTCTTAGATGACAATGTTTGTTATCAAGATCGAAAAGAAAAAAAAGAAGGAATCCAATACCAATCAATTCTAATGAAGGATCATAAGATTTGCAGGGCGCCTTGTACCATTTAACAGAGAAACAAGCACAATCACTAATGCAGCCCAACACCACATGTAATGAGGTTAAGATTTTACATTGCCTAAGAGTGAATCTAACAAGAGAATAAATCTCAAATTCTCAGCCTAAAGTGCAATTAGCACCCGGTGATTCATAAAATGTAGGATTAGTTATTTGCATAGGACACTGTCTTTGAAAAATCCATATCAATTTTTTAAAACTCAAGAATTATAGAGTATTAGAACGATTTGAACATTTTCACGGCAAGTAAACATGTTTTATGATAGAGAGATGTAAATGAACATACCTCAATGAAAAGAAAGAAGCTTGGGCAGCATGGGCAGCAGCTTTGGCAAGAGTGGTTTTTGAGCATCCTGGGGGTCCATGCAGAAGAACTCCGCGTACAGGTGATATCCCTAGTCTTGTAAAGACAGCTGAATACTTGATAGGCCATTCAACAGCTTGTTGGAGCTTTTTCTGTCCATGAATAAAGTAAATATGGCTGAAGTTCAGGGGAAATTGCATCATGACATGACTATAAAAAGTTACAGACCTTCAAATCCCTTAAACCTCCAACATCTTCCCAAGACACCTTAGGGATTTCAACAGTAACACCTCTTGTTATACTTGGGCCAACCACAGACCTTGCATGTTTCCAATCTTCCATTGTTAAGCTAAACAAACTAGCACTTTCATTTGAACCTGAAGACCTCCGAACTGCAGAAACAGTAGCCTCACGGCATAAGGCTTCCAAATCAGCCCCAACATATCCATTGCAAGATGCAGCTATAGCTTCTAAGTCAACTGCGGGATCCAAAGGAACCTTCTTTGTGTAAAGCTGACCAATAATACAAGTAGAAAATATCTAATTATCTCCATAGCATAACCCAAAGCAAGAACATACAAACAAGCAGAAACAGTTAAACTTCTTATAAGGTTTTTCAGACAACCAAATGAAATTGCCGATGGGCTCAATTGACAAATCAACACAATCATTGTTTCGAAAAAGAACTACTACCTTAAGAATTTGGAGACGGTCATTTTCATTTGGTGTAGTAACTTCAATTTCAGCATCAAAACGACCAGACCTTCTTAAGGCTGGGTCAATTGAATCAATTCTTCAGACAGAGAAACCACAAATGAGAAGTATATTCTTACAAGAGATACTATTCAACCAACGTCTAAACTGTTCCAAGGTTTTATTAGCATCAGATCTACAGCAAAATTTGCTAGCATTTAATAGAGACTGGGATGTCCGGAATAAATTACGACAAGCAGAAAACACCAGAGAGAGTGGATTTACAATAATACATCCATATAATAAATATAGGACACAATAAACTAAAGGAGGAACCCAAAAATGTAACTTATAAAGATTATATCATTTGAAAAATACAAAAAATATGTTTTACTTCCGACGGAACTAATAAAATCTTTCTAACAATGATGATGTTTTGACAAAAATGAACTGTGTCAAAAGAGTCCCAAAGAGAGGAATAACCTGTTTGTGGATGCAACAACAACAACCTGTGGTATGGATGCCAATGAAGGGTTATTGGAGTCCATCAATGTAAAGAGCTGAGAAGCTATGCGCACATCCTGCTCTCGCCTACATATGTAGCAGTAGTTCAGTTCTGCTAATCATAAGCACATATCTCTCCTCTACTATTAAGAAAAATCATTAAAAACTAGAAACAAGAGTATCACTATTCTAGAATCCACAAAAGATCAGTGCAGGTACTTAACAAGACGAGAGGCATATATTATGTCCCTAAATTTATCTGGTCTTCTTGTTTTCTCTGCCTAAATTTCTTTAATTTATTCGGTCTGCATCAGTGAATATCGAAATTATTTCTGTCCAATATCAGTTGGTATTCTGTCCTGTCTCAAGTTCGGTCTGTAGTTATATATTCTACATGCTTGGTCAATATTTTTGCTATTGGAAAAAAATTAAAGCATGCAATAAAAAGCTTTTATCCAAGCATCCATCCAGCATGATCAGGAGGACCAAAATATTGGTGATTCATTCAATATATTTTTATTCCTTAAATCATGTTTGCTAAGAATTTCATTGATAAGAATACATTGGTTTACTATAATTCTTTGGTCCATGTGGCATCTAATCTTTGAAAGGTCTGGAAATGTGACCTTTATGCAGTATAGCAACTATAAAAAACTTCTTAAAGTACCTAATTGCATCATTACAAAATTCACAAATACAGAATTTGTATATTAAAGCAAGAGGCTAATAGACATCAACTATCAAGAAACACGGCCTACAATACCTAGAATCACGGCGAGGACAGAGTGCATCGATTTCATCTATAAAAATCACTGATGGCTTGCCTAACTTTGCATGGGATAATGCTTCAGAAAAAGCCTCCCGCAAAATTCTCTCACTTTCCCCAGCATGTGCCCTATGAACAGAATGTGGACTGCCCAGAACACATTTTAACCAGTATGTTAGCACCTATTGAAATTGAAAACATTAAGAATGCAACATGATATAACTATTACAGAATGTCTACCACAACAACAGAGAATGAACAGTTTATAGATGGGCAAAAGTCAAAAAAAGAACGAAGGATTAGGCTAGAGAGTTTCTAGTCAGTTAGTAATCAATTTATGTTTTCCTTACAGATGTAAGGATTAGTTTTTATGTAATACTTTCTGTTTTTTCTACAGATAGATGAGAATAAGGCACCTGATTACAATTAGATGAGCACCACATTCTCGAACAACTGCACGTACCAAGCTTGTCTAAAATTATGAGCAAATGAAATAATTGTGAGAAATGAAAATCAGAACTCTTTTGGAATTTGACTAAAAAATTAGTGAGCAACTGACATCAGTGACCTATTTCCAATGAAAAGTAACACTCCAAATTCAAGCATCTGACTTCACTGTAGGTAGAACTAACAAAAAGAACAAGAAAATTATGAACTTTATTGTGATAAACATATAAACCGCGCTAATCCCATTCCATTAAAATTGATTATGAAGCCCGAGTAAGAATTGACTATAAATAGAAAGAAAATTGAATCATGGTAACAGTTTCGTTTAAACATCTTCATCTCGAAATTCCTTTTTTTTCTGAAAAAGAAAAAAAATAAAGATATAACCGAAGCCTAAAACTTCAATTTTCAAAAATGAAAATCTGCTAAGAAACAAATAGAAAAAGCTATAAGGGAAAAATAACAGCAAAAATTATCACTTCCATAGCAGCAACAAGTACCTTCCCTGTTCCAGGTGGACCGTACAGCAGCATACCTCGAGGCCACTTTGAAAATAAAAAAAGAAAAGAGAGATGAGAAAAATCAAATAAGCTCAGAACAATTATACCCAAATAAACGCATACAGAGATTAATATAAACAAAAGAGAGTTACTCTGAGACCGAGCTTCTGGGCTTCGCGGGAGTAAAGAAAAGGGAAGATGATGAGTTCTCTAAGAGCTTGGAGAGCTTTTACGTTGCCAGCGATTTCTTCTTCTGCCCGTCCTCGGTTGCTGCTGCTATAGCTACTGCTTGAGCTCTCCATCTAGACAAGGGTTGAAATAGGAAGGGAGAAGAAGTAAGGGAAGGTTTCGTCTACGAGAGGCGCACACGTATGCCTCCCGCTTGTGTAAATATTCTCGGGTAAGAAAGCAGAACCTCACCTCTTTCTGTTGCCCCAAACATCTAACTTTACAAAGCCCTTCCGAATAATCTACAGGCCTTTTTGAATAAATTTAATTATTTATAATTAATATATGACAATAATAATTAATATATGATAATTATCGGAATTGAATAATAATAATATATAATAAAAATAATAAAATTTTTTATTATTAAATAATTATATATTAATATATATTAAAGACAGTTATTTTATTTTAATAATAAAATAATATAATTATATTTTTAGTTAAATTATTAATTTATTTATATTTTATTATATATAATAGTAAATAGTATATAAAAATATGTAATAAAAAAATAAATAAATTATGTAAAAATATAATTAAATTTATATTTAAATAAATAATTATTATACGTAATTAAATTAAATTTTTATATTTAATAAAATAAATAATTATTATTTACATTATCACATTAAATTAAGTTTAATAAAAATAAAATTATTTATATATTATAAATAATAATTATAATTATATATTATTATATTAAATCAAAATTATTTTAAAAAATAAAAAATTAAAATATATTTAAAATAATTATTTATCATGAATTAATTTATTAATTAATTTTGTTTAAAAAATTAATCATCATTAGAATTTTATATGTTCAATCATATTTTTTTTATTAGTTTCAAAATTCTAAATTTATTTTTTTCTAACAAAAATATGCAGTATATATACATATACATATGTAAATATCTCATATTCATATTTAATAATAAAAAATATTTATATCCTATTATCAAATTATTTGAGCATTAAATAAATACTATGTAAATTAAAACCGCTTAAAAAATATAAATAGTAAAAAATATTGTGCACAAACAAATACAGAAAGATTTAAAAAAATTAATAATTTAACATAAATTAATCAATTCAAAACAATAAATTAGTCCATAAGAATAATAAGATTCATCTATTTTCCTATTTATATATTAAACATTCAATATGGTTTGACAAAGGTTCTTAAAATCATACTGTAATCTTGCATTTTAGCAACAACAATCTCTATTTTTAATTATCTGAAAATTCGAAAAAAGTAAAGAATCAAAACCAGCAAAATAACAAGTAGAAAATATTCGAACTTGAGATTTAATATTAGTTATTATCAGGTAAATGAAGCAAATTAGTCATGAAAACTATGTCGATCAAGAGAGCAAGCCATTAAAGCTTTAGTCATGTTTAGTTTATCCATAAGTAGCACAAAAAATTTTGTTTCTAGAAGGGGATCTAATCTCATACGATAAACTTTTTGATATAGTTTTTCTACTGAAACAGACGCTTTTGAAATTGTTAATATTTCATTCATTGAATTTAAAATAGTTCGAACTTCAACCAGATATTCTTTTTCATAGACTATTGTCAAATGTCTCGCTTTCTTCCGCATGTAAGATTTTTACACCTTAGGTTCGGGTTTTAAAGTATAAGTTTCGAGTGTCTGAGCCTCACATGAAGTATCCAGACCATGAAAATTAAAATTACCACTTAAATCTTGGGTAAGTGGTGTCTCACTTGTAGCATCCAGACCATGTTCATCATCACTCATCTTCCTTTGTCTTTAAGGGTTTATAAGTGTTCACTTGTAGACCTATTAGCTCTGTCTTTGAAGGTTTTTCAATTCTAATTGTTCGGGTGAGCTTAGGATGAATAATTATATTAATATTTGAACAGTATAAAACATGGCAAACAACATATGATAAGGTAAGACATTTACCTTTATTAGTTGCACCCAAACTTCCTCTTCTACTTCAAATCGTTCAGTTATTGGATTCCAGGCAAAACCACTCATTGCATGTTTGAAAACATCATAACATTTTGAGAATTACCTTTTTAAATTTTTTATGCGGTTGTGTATCTGCTCTTTATGTAACGACTCTGGAAATTTAAAATGAAATATGTGTATTAAAAATGTCAAATGTGGAAGCGAAGTCAAAATTTCGATTAACATCCTTTACACTAAAACAAAAAACGTGCTCAAAATATAAAAGATCAAACTAACTAAAAGAGAAACTCGAAAGTAAAAGTTATGAATATGACTATGGAGTCTTTAGGCGTCCCATTCGTCGTCTTCCTGCGGAACGGCATCGGGAACAATGTCTTCCTTATCTGAAATGATTAAATAAGGAATGGGCTACACTAGCCCAGTAAAGACATCACGATATCTCACCGTCACGGAGGTAAAGGTGGGTAGAAAACACAAAAAGACCAATGGAGCATAATTTATAACAAATCCTTTTATCAATAATAAAACCTTTACCATCCACTTACCTCGGTGAAATTCATAAAACAATATACGAAAGCAATAATATTATCATCATCATGAAATCATATAAACTGTATAACATAATACTTATCACGCCTTTTGTAATTCAACCATTACACAACATATTTTTCCTCTTTTACCAGCCTACTAGTATCCGTGGAGATCCATAGGGGTCCCGCTACCCGTGAACCTTTAACATTTACAATCTGATTCCAGGGCCGTCCCCATACCCCGTCCGGTATGGGCGTCAAAACTATAAACCTCAATACCCCGTCTGGTATGAGGGTGAAACGAGCCGTCCCCATACCCCGTCTGGTATGGGCGCCAAAACACATAAGGTCTCCATACCTCGTCCAGTATGAGAGACCACAATCCCGGGTTCCCTACGGACCCGGTCCGTCCACCATCTCCCAAGATATCTAGTCAGGCTGATCACATTATACAATTATCAATTTACATAACCTTTCATTCCCCTTTTCCTCAGTAAGCATCATCAATTCACACACAAACAAGCAAAACAGTAATTTGGCCTATTTTAAAACTGTAAAATAGGCCAAATAACAGTTAACCGACAAACACACTAGACTCGGGCTCCATTAGCGACCTTAAGCAATTTCACACATTCGTTGATTCAAGAAATACTGTTTTATCATTATTGAACTTTAATACTGTGATAGAAAATAGGGTGAGGGGTCCTTACTCGTTTCGGGGTCCGAACACGGCTTCACAGTGCGCCTACAGGCTGTCCCTAATTTTCCCTGAATTTTTTCCGGGGAACTGAAACGCACTACTGGTACCTGCACGTGTTCCAAAAAATCCTAAATTAGACCCAGGGCCCCTTTCGGCCAATATCGCAATTCCGGCACGGCGGCTCCGCCATGCTTCGACGACGGCGCCGCCGCTTGCGGTGGCGATTCGCCTCGGGTTGGCCGTTTTTGGCCGAATTCGGCCACACTTACATCGGTCCTTGTGATAAAACAACCCTAGGGCCCTCGGGGGGCTAAAAATTTATGAAAAATCGAAGCTTACCGGTGACGGTGCTCTCGGGTGCGGCGGCTCTCCGGTGAGGTTCGTGTTTTGGTGATTCGGCTCCGATCAGCCTGTAGAGAAAAGAATGGTGATCACGGTGATATAAAAATTGCATCAAACGGAGGCCGGGAAGGGCCTCATCGGAGGCAAAAATCGAGGAGGGGCGCGGCGGCGCCGCTGGGTTTCGGCCGTGTTTTTCGGTCGTTTGGCCAGGATTTTGGCTCCGATTTGGCCACAGGGGAACTCAGCGTGGAAAAACGAGTCGGGGGTATAAAATTTACCTCGATCGGCGGTCGAAAATCTCCCCGGTGCGGCGGCGGGTGGCGGCGGCCGGCTCCTCTGGCGTCTGGTTCGTCTTCTCCGGCGAGGGCTGGCGACTAGGATTTTTGTGGTCAGGTGTGGGGGTTCTATTTATACCCTTTTGCCTTTTGATCTCAACCGTCCATTTTGATTAAATCTGGGCCGTCCGTGCGCGCGGGGACGCATATGGGTCGTCCGATCCGCGCGCACGCAGATCGCCCACGTGGCCCGTTCCCTCGACGTGGTCTTGACACGCGGTAGGTCCTAGTTGGCCAGGGCTGCTGACTGGGCCGCTGACGTGGCTGCTGACGTGGCGCTCTTTTTTTTATTAAATTAAACTAAATAAAATTAATACTAACAAAAAATGCCCAAATTGTTTGGGCGTTACACTTTATCTATGTCCGTATCTGAAAATGCATTCCTTAGTTCTTTAAGTACACAATCAATGGCGTGTGATGTGAATGTCTCACTCAATTTACGACCGCACAGATATTGCTCGTAAAAAGAATTTACTAGGATGTCATCCATAGAATCTGTCCAGTTGATAGTTTTACTTCCTTCATCTGCATGTATGTTCTTCCTACTCATTTTCTAAAACACATATTAAAACACTAAATATAATCATATGCAAAAAATATATATAATATTGTTACAACAAAAAATTTTTCAAATTGTAGCATTTAATTAAAATATTAAAGTTACACAAATGTCATAGCTATACAAATGTCATACACTATACAAACATTATAAACTATACAAATGTCATAAACTACATAAAATGTAATCAACCCATACATTAATTACTATTGCATCTCTAATTACGTCGTCTTTTCTCATTTCCTTAGTACTGTCCCTAAAGTTATGTACTTCATTCGTCTGGATAAACGTTTCGGAGTTCTTCATCAACCTCTAGAAGAAGTTCATCAGTTTAATTCTCTCCCTGTAAATAATTATGCAAAATGTAACAAACAAATATAATAGTATTAACAATCTTAATCTAATAATGAGGTTCAGTCGAGCCTTAGATAATTGGAAGACGTTTCTTTAGAACTCCAAAAGCACATTCAATTGCATTACGCAAAGAAGCATGTCCTAGATTAAATAACTCACGAGCATTATGTGGTGGATTTCTAGAGTATTCACTCAATGGCAACGTTCTCCTCTATATGATGTAATTAGTCCACCCCACAACATGAACCTAGCATCTACAAGGTAAAACTTACCTTTAAGTAATGAATAAATTAAATTATAACCTTTTTCTTCAAATGTATACATTACATATTGAAGTTAAATATATTTTAATTACATTCAGAAATTACTAGAGGATCATCAACTCTATTTAACATATTTTTTATTATTCTTGAATTTGATGCGGTCCCCTCCCACCCAGCTAAGACA